GCGAGCATGCGACCCGCGGACTACTAGCGCGGCGCTTATTGTTAGATAATTTATTTAACGGTTTTATCGCTTTACTTTAGTTTTTTGACTTTATTGATACATTTTTATTATTGACTCATAATTACTTATTTTTTTCTTTTGGACATTACTGAATGACATTTATTTTATTCCGTTTTTCTAACTTGACTGACTTTCCCACTCTGTGATGCCGTTTTTCTTGTTTAAAGAATTTTCATCCATATGATAACGACTTTGTCAGTCAACTCATGCTGTCTACATCATATTGTTTGTCTTCTCCATAACCGTTGACATGTGGTGACGAGTTTGAATGTAACCGTCGATAAGGTGCGTACCGTTTATTACACACTACTGTACTGTTATATGAGATCGGATCGTTCTTCAATCAGGTTTGTTATTCCGGTGTTTTTTCTTTGTATTTTCAGCTTCTTTGCTGAGGATGATCAAAAAATAAATGATCAAAACGTCCAACCATTAATTTTTCAAAAAATTGCTTTTGATTTGCCACCATTACCCGTGGTCTTCAGCCTACTCGGTCTCTTTCTACTTTTAATTTGATTTAAAGGCTGCTACACTTATTTGAAATCTTCTACGATGTTCTAAATTCGGCTACCCGCTAGGGCGAGCATTTCCTGCGTCAAAAATCGCCTTATATGGTAAGGTATTTCGAAGGACCGACGGTGCGTCATGGTTTTATCGTTAACCGTCGGACTCTAAAGTAAACATGGAAAGTTCTAGCATCTACGCGTAGCAACGAGACTAAACTAGACAATGGTCACACTTCCCTCCTTATATAAAAATTTGAGGTGTAATCAAATTTTGTGTTATTATTTATAGAGAAGTCTTCGTAGTACGTCGGGATTTAATTGGCGATCTGAGGTTGAAGATAAAGTTACACTGAGTTCGCTGTTCGAGGTGTAACTTACATGTTGCGTCGGTGCACGATTTCTAAAGCTACAATGATTATAACAATTTCCGATCAGTAATTTAAAAAGATTAATAACACTAGAAAAGAATCCGATTTTGTAAAGAAAAACAAAGAGGATAGAGCCAAAGGCTATATATCCTGCTAACTGAAGATAATACATTAATTTTTCTTTCCAAGTGATAGTTCTATGATTTTCTAATATTTGGTCTGCGATAGTATTTAATTCGTTGAAAGTTTTACTAAGAGTTTGCAAACGTTCTGGATCAATATGAGTTTCTTTGATTAAGTCTATAGGTATATTTGTTAAATTATGTTTTGTAAAATTTCATCAAGTGATTCTTGTGATGATAATTTAATAGTTCGATGAATTTCGATTGTATCTTTAATTAGATTTTCGGGTTTTAAGGTTGCAGTGTCGGAAATTGCTGTACAGTCTGGTTCTAAATAAAGTATGAAATTTTGAGAGATTCGAGCGCTACGGGGAATTTTGTCGGAACAGAGAATATGCAAATTTTCTTCTTTAGGCGCGATTTTGATCCAGTCTTGATTTGTGTGGAGTTGAATCCACAATGTATTTTGGATTTGCATATACTTTGTTGTACATTTTCCTGATTCGTGTTTAAAAAGTATTTCGCTTAAACAGTTATCTTTTATTCCCGTTTTATAATCCGGATAAGTTCTTTTTAGTAATTGACAATCACCTATCCTTTTTGCTTTTGTTAATTCTAATTCATTTATTAGCATAAAAATAGTTCTATAAGGGTCTAATAAAATAAGTTTTTGTGTAGTATCTATTATTGATTGTCTCAACCATCCGTGTCTCGGAAGAGATATTACTCCAGTTAATTCTAATATCTTATCATCTATCAAAGGGATTAACAATTGTAGTAACAGTCTTTTTTCTGTTAAAGCTATCGATACGTCGCTTATATCTATAAGAATAATCCGACAAGTCATATCCCTACTACAATTTTCCACTGTTTGTGGTAAAGCTTTATTTTAGCTGAAGTCTCGAGATAAACTACTTCATTATTGTCATGCTGTCGAATTGTATATTTTTCTTTTTTTCCATTATTAGGATGATATTGTAGAACCATCACTAGTATCAATAGAATGATTCGTCTCAGATTCATTTTCTTGATCTAGAACAAAAGGTTTGATATCACTTCGGTGATATTGTTTTACTCCCGTATTTTCGTTTACATGATAAGTTATAGAATTATCATGTCGAATCACAGAGAAAGGTCTCTTCCACTGCGGTTCGAATGATTTTGCATTGAAATTTTTCACGAGAACTAAATCGTTAATTTTGATTGGCGCGTATGATTTATTAGAGAGATTAGAATCCTGATATTCACGTATATTCTTACGTGCTTCGTCTAATTTATTTTCGTGTTGAATGCGCATATTATCGATTTGATTTTGCAAAGTTAATCTTTCATCTTCTTCGCTGAAGATGTGATTAGGCTCTCTGCCGAATTGTAATTCGTAGGGTGTATAACCCGTGGTTTTATTTATCGTACAATTATATGTGAGCATTGCTTGGGATAATATCATATCCCATTGCTCTTGTTCGTTAATGTAATGTCTTGTATATTCAGTTAATATAATATGTGATCTTTCGTTTTTCCCGTTTGATTGCGGGTGATAAATTGAAGTGAGAATATGTTTTGAATTTAATCTATCGCAAAGTGTTTTAAATTCATTTGATATAAACTCTAATGCGTTGTCAGAGAGAAATTCTTTAGGTTTACCGAAATATCTAAGCCAAGAGTGCCAAAGTGCTTTTATGATTGCCGCTGTTGACTTGTCAATAAGCGGTTCCACCAGAATATATCGAGTAAGATAATCTTGAATTACAAGGATATAACGATTTCCTTTATTAGTTATTTCAAAAGATCCCATGATATCAAGCGATACTTTTTCGTTAGGAGCTTTAGGAATATCGCAAGAGGAATAAATATAAGGTTTTTGAGTTCCCGGTTTGTTAAACTGGCAGGTTTCGCACTTGTGAATAAATTCTTTTACATCTACTGTTATGTTTGGCCAGTTATATCTTTGCCTAATTTTTTGGAGTGTTTTTTCTACTGAATAATGTCCCCTTAATATGCCCGAATGAGCTTCTGCGATAATTTCTTTTTTATTTCTTATTTCTGGATTGTGTTTAGAAACATAAATGTACAGTTTTTCTCCAAGATAATATTTGTCAATAATTAAACGTAATTTGTTGATTTCATTTTGATCGTGTATAATATTTAAATGATGATCATTTTCGGTGAGAAAATCATGTAATTGAATACTCATTTGTCGATGAGTCGCGTGAGGCGAGATATAAATTTCGTTTTCTCTTGTGATTTCGAGTGGAGTTTCGATATAAAGTATAGTTTTGTTAGTAAGCCTGCCGACTTGATTTTTGATTATTATTTGTTTTTGAATCCCCGGTGGTGGTTGTCTAGAAGAGCAAGGACTAGAAGATTTTGAGTTAAAAGGAGATACCATTCTTGGTGGGGAGTCTGGAATTCTAGTGGGAGTTAGTGGTGTCCCGTCAATAATTATTTTTGTTCTGTTTTCTAAGTCGTGTTCAACGATAATTGAGTCAATTATTTGTCGTGTTTCTTTATTTATAATTCCCCTGATCGTCAATGTCCATTTGGAAGGATTTGTGCCAGTATCTTCAATGATTGGAATAACATGGGCTCGTAAAAGATTAGGAGTAATAAAATCTGGGTCGATATTTTGCCAGCCTGGGACAGGATCTTTACTGATAGCAATTTTAATATGAAAATTTGTTCTCTCTATTTCTGTAAGAATTCTTTGAATTTTATCAAAGGTGTTCTGAGGTTTATTTGCATTTTCTGATTCAATTACATTAACTGGAATACGTGAGAGAGCGTCAGCGTTCGTGTTAATTTTTCCCGATTTATAAACAATTTTATAATCAAATTCTTCTAGTTTTAATCTCCATCTCATAAGTCTAGAATTTGAATCTTTAACATTCATTAACCAAATTAAAGGTTTGTGATCTGTTACAATTTTAAATTGTTTACCAAATAAATATTGTCTAAAATGTTTTGTCGCCCATACAATTGCTAAAAGTTCCTTTTCAGTAGTACTGTATCGGGTTTCAGCTTTGTTGAGAGTTCTAGAGGCAAAAGCCAGTGGCTTGTCTTTGCCTATTTCTCCTTGGGAAAGAATTGCTCCGATTGCATCATTGGATGCGTCGGTAGTAAGAATAAAAGGTTTGGTCCAGTCAGGGTACGATAGTATTGGTTGTGACGTCAGTTTAGTTTTTAATAGTTCAAATGAGTGTTGTTGTTCATTTGTCTATTTAAAAGTTGTAGATTTTTGAAGAAGTCGCGTGAGTGGTTTGGCAATTTTTGAAAAATCTTTAATAAATTTTCGATAATATCCAACAAGTCCAAGAAATTGTTTTATTTCTTTGGCATTTTTAGGAGCCGGATATGTCTGAACCTTTTCTATTCTTTTAGGATTAGGTTGAACACCGCGTTCAGAAATCAGATGTCCTAAATATTCAAGTTCCGGGCGAAGATATTCGCATTTATCCGGTTGAAGTTTCAAACCTACTTGTCTAAGTCTCTCAAATAATACTCTTAAATTTTTATTATGCTCTTCTATCGTTTTTTCGTATACTATTATGTCGTCAATGTAAACAAAACAATTATTTCCGACTAAGCCTTTTAATCCTTTGTTCATCATACGTTGAAACGTTGGCGAAGCGTTTTTTAAACCGAAGGGCATGCGCATATATTCATAATGTCCGTTCGAGATAGAAAAAGCCGTTTTTGAAATATCTTTCGGATTCATACCGATTTGGTGAAAACCCGACGCTAAGTCAAAAGCTGAAAAATACCGCGCGTTTCCTAATTGATCTAAAATTTCATCGATATTCGGAAGGGGATAAGCATCTTGAATAGTTTTTTCATTAAGTTTTCTATAATCTATTACTAATCTCCATTTGGTTTTTCCCGAAGCGTCTTGTTTTTTCGGTACTACCCACAACGGTGAGTTATAAGGCGAGTCTGATTCTCTTATAATCCTCTTTTCTAACATATCTTTTATTTGCGTTCGAATTTCTTCTTGATGTATCGGAAGGTAACGATATTATTTCATTTGAATGCTCTGAGATATGTGATAGTCGCGTATTCTCTTTTAATATGCGCAATCGTTCGTTGTCTAAAGATTGTTTCGCGATCGAGTAGATTGATTTTTCGTGAAAATCTTCAATGCTTTTTATATCATTTATTAAATATTTTGGAATAATTGGTTGATTGGAATCATTTATTTTTGTCATAGCTCCAGTGTCATTTTTAAAAATTACTAACACATCACGATTTTTGCATGCACTAGGATATGGCTTATCAATTTGTTTAAATTCTTGTCCTCCGAGTATTAAATTCTTATTTGAAAATATGAAGTTATTTTTTGTAAGAAAATCTATTCCTAAAATACCTTGGTATTTAACGGGCGAATTATCGTCTAATACATGAAATATATGCTTTTTTCCAAACATTTCTATCTCTACGCCGTATTTTGTTTTTAAAGAATGAGTTGTTACACCTGTTATTACGATAGGATCTACTCTAGGCAAATTTTTATTTTCAATGTACGTCTCGCGTATCAACGATAAATCCGAACCGGTATCTATCAGAAAACTAATTTTTTGGAAACCTGGAATTTTTAGTCCAACTCATGGCGCTCGGACGTATGTTCCGTGAGGTCCTTGCTGCAATTCGCCTTGTTGGATGACTCGATCTCGTCCCGTTCCATTGCATGTAAACGATGCGATTGTAGGCCCGGCGGTTGATCGTCGATCCGGCGCTCGTGAAAATTTTGCTGTCGTTGATCTCGTTGTTGATGAAACATCTTTGTTCTGCATTCCTTCTCTTTGTGTCCACGTCTTTTGCAATAATTACATTCTTTTAAACGAAACTGTGATTTCTGTGATGTCGTTCTTCTGTAATTATCGCTTCGCTGCACTTTCATTTTCCTGAGTTGCATCTCTCCTTCGTACCTTCGCGCTTTGCCGAATATCGAATTTAAGGTGTCGAAGTGATCGAACGAGTGAAGATGATCGCTGATTTCCGTTCTTACATTGCGACGAAAAACTTCAATTGCCTCTTCTTGGTATAAATCTTCTTGAACGAGAATTTTTGTGTAACTGATGTTCTACGCGTTTATTGCAGTTATGATTTCGTCTTGAATGCAAGAGAAGCGGTTTATAAAGTCGTCAATGCTCTCGTTTGGTCGTTGTATACAAGTGTCTCGTTGCACTTTCAATGCGGAGAGATTTTGCGCTTTTCCATGCAGGAATCGAAGTTTTTCAATTAATTGCGAAAAAATTCGCGCGCTATCAAGTCTTACTGTTCCTTTTGCTCTTCCTGTCAATTTCTGGGCGATAATGCTGATCAACAATAGTTTGTGTTGATCGCTTGCCAGTCGTTTCACTGCGGCCTGAACATGCTCGATAAATGCTTCGACATTGAGTCCGTCGAATTCAGGGATTAGTTGCAACGCCAATTTATAGTTTGTAATTGAAGGCTTTGTATTTATTACAGGCTGTTCATTCGTTTCTTGTGCTGCCGTCTGTCGCTGAGTTGGATTATCTCGCATTTCATCTATTCGTATTTTTAAATCTTGAACCGTGTCTATGACTTTGATCAATTGTTCTGCTAATATGTTTATGGTAAGAGTTTCCTCTCTGACCGGACTTTGAGCGCGCGACATTGGAGCAGTGATAAAAATTTTTGATTCCAATATATCAGTGATAGAACTCGAATTTGTCGAATCAGTAGACTGAATTTCGCTTACTGCTCTGTAATTTGTCCACGCCAGTGTGTCTTCGGGTTCGGTAGACGAGATAATTTTTTCACTTTAAGAGGGTCCTGGAGTAAGACCCGAAGTCCGCACTGGGGTCCCTGCCCGGAAAGTGGCGCCCTCAGTGGTTAAGTTATTCCGTCCTTCTTTTAANTGTTCGAGCACAGGAAGATTTAAATGTACCGGGATTCAAAGCGTCGATGCGTTGGATACAAAAATTCAAAGTAATACATAATATTGTATCTCGTAAAATAACAAAATTTGTAACAAAAAAATCTATACTAGCAAAGGTATCGAGCTTGAAGGAAAGTGTAATTTATTTATTGAAAACGTTAAATATCAAATAACTCAATATGGAGCAGAAAATATTTACAACAGTGATCAAAGCGGATTCCAGTTAGAATTGCATGCCGGTCGTACATTAGCATATAAAGGAACAAAAAGAATTGAGTCTGTAGTACAATCTAAAACGGCAATTACGCATAGTTATACTATACAACCTACTGTTTCAGCCGATGGTATGTTATTATCACCTCTTTTTATTGTATTGAAAGAAGTTAGTGGAACATTTGGTCTTAGAGTGCAAGAAACAATGTTCATGGCACCTAATATTTTTGTTAGAGCTTCGAAATCCGGGAAATTAACGTCAGATCATTTTAAAATTTGGTTGGAAAACGTATTTTTTCCAAACGTAGGACCAAAGTCCGTTTTACTATTAGATTCGTGGACTGGTCATTGTCCAAATATTATACAAGAAACTAAATTAGAATCTACAGAAACTATAATTCTATTAACTATACCGGCTGGAACAACAGGAAACATACAACCATTAGATGTATATGGTTTTCGTTTGTGGAAAAATTTCATTAAACACTTTTCAGATATTGTAATGCTTTTGGATCTAGAAATAAATCTTCACGCAAGAAACAATATTTTAAAATTACAATCATTAACTCATGGTCAGTTTTCATCGCCTAGATTTAGAAATTTATTTCGATACGCATGGTATAAAAGCGGGTATATGGAAAATAAACCGGAAGAATTTGAAACACCAGTAGAATATTGTTTCAAAAATCAGTTAAAATCGACATGTGATATTTGTGGTTCAACTGCAATTATTACTTGCGCATGGTGCAAAAAATCGCTTTGCATAAATCATTTCTTTCATGAACATCACCTTTGTGATACTTATGTATACCCATAAATTCACTTAATATTTTTAATATGTTTTTTCGATACATGTTAAATTTTGAATATATGTATGTTTATGTTACTATATTATGTAATGGTTAAATATTATATGTTATAGTTATATATTATGTTGTATGTTTTTGAAACTAAAGTTTTAATTGTTTTATTACACACACACTCACATTACATCAACTTTACAATTAAAAATTCTAAAAACACAATAAACACAAAAGAGAATGTTTTTACTATTGATTAGAACCTGTAATTAATTTAAATTTTTTGTATTAATTAATATTGAAAAATAAACATAAATTGCACTATAAATTAAATAGTAACACGTCCATTTATTTATCTATCAAATTATCTTCGTTTTTATTTCTTACGTGTAAGTGTGTATGTAATTAGTATGTTTTGAATATCATCTTATAAAATCGTTAAAGCTAAAGTTCTATTTAAAAATAATAGTACTGATTTATATGTATATAATATTATATGAAATTAATCTCTGTTAAATAAATTTAAAGTGTAAAGCATCAGTGGAAGGGATGTCTAAAAGCAACGCTTTTAAACTTTGCTCTTTGCTCTGTGATTAGAACTTTATCCAATACGTGATGACGGGACTATTTTTATTCTTTGATTTTTGTATCGCCTATTACGCTTAAAGCGCGATATAAATGATGAGTCATGCAGCGCGACGCATATAATACGATATTGATTGTTTATTTCTGAAAGATGCGATTTTGAAACATAAGAAAATCATATATGGTTGAATTCAGCGTAAAAAATGCTACAATTTTTCCTTACAAANATTTTGAAAATTGAAAAAAACAAATTGACAGGTGGGGGTAAATAAAAAAATGTTGAATAAAAAATAAATCCAACTACGCGGTTGTAAAGCCTATAAAATACTATGCAACTTTTAGTTGAAACATTTTTTTATATCTCTTACCGTTTTGATGATACTCGCATAAAACAAAAAAACCGGTTTTTTTTCGAAGGAGTGTATCACTCCCCAAACGTGCAAGAAAGCACATAAAAAAAAATACGGGTCTCTTATTTTTAGCTACTTTACAACATATTCAAAGCTCATCAAAATCGGAGAGGGACACTTGCGTCACTTCCCTTGTAAGATGTTCCGGCGAAGGTGCGGCACACAACTTCGGCACGCCGTTAAAAAAAATAAAATTTCGTTACACAAAAAACTAAATCTTACCTACGAAATTCTCTAGTTGGGCGCCAGGCGTGAATTCACGCCGAGTCCGTCAATCTCCCATACGCCACATAGATGTGAAAATAATCAGGCGTGACGGCAATACTAATTTTACTCGGCAGCTCAGTTTAATTAATTTATATAATTGCGGAGAGGCGTGGGTTCAGGAGGCGGAATCAAATAAGGCAGAAAAACTTAGTGTAAGGTAATACTCTCAAAATAATGCAATCGACAATATAAAAAAAATAGAGATAACAGTTTATTGTCGCTCGGCAAAAAAAAGAAAAAGTACACACGGATTACACGGCATTCAATTCCCGCGCGTTCGGATCGGCAGTATTCAAAAATCCAATTCACAAAAGTTTCCCGTGCGTTACGCCGTGTATCGCCAATTCGTTATTATATGTGCGACGGTAATGAATCTAAGTTAAAGTAATATAACTAAGATGCTCGCGAAATGAAATAAATGCGCAGGAATGCGCTAGCGCGAGCGCGCGACGGCGATACGGCGGACAATATTTATTCGGCGGCAACGAAACATCCGCGATACATCACAGCGCGACTCGGAACAACGTGCGAATCTTCGAAAATCGGTTAATAATTTTGATATTCTTACACGATCTCACTCGAACCAAAGATAGAGCGAATTACGATCGTTACGTTACAATATTCCGACAAGTTGTCTTAGCCGGAGCGACGGCAAGCGCGATACATACACGAGTATAATACGGCACGAAAACACAAAAAAAAACGCAAACATGTAAGGCTACCGAATATCGAGCTAACACAAAGCCCGGATTGTTGCGACTTTACAGGGAGGTGAGAGCAGCGGCAA